AGCATTCATCTGGTCAAGCTCTGGTTTATATTGTATTGGCGGACAAAGAACACCTAATTATTTATTTATACAAAAGCTTTAGAATGTGTCGTTATGTCACATGACTTAGAAAATGAATATATGCACATATAGTGAGTAAAAGAAACGTTACCATAACAAACTTCTGCACGATGATATCCAAGAGAAGCACCTCTCAATTCTGGAGAATAATATTTAAAAAAAATTTGCTATGCTAACAGCACCAGTATCTCCACCCATAGCATAACTAACACCACGAAACTCATATAATTTATTAGCAGTATTATTATTTCCATCGCAAATTGCATCTGCTTGAAATCCTGCAGTGATACTATCACCTAGTGCCATGATCACCTTAATATCATCTGGGCGTAAATCATGTACGTTTGCCGGAGGAGATGTGCGAGGTGTTAGCGATGGGCATAATGTAATGTCATTTACAAATATATTATACCGAGAAGATGTAGAAAATGACTTCTGAACGAACTCTCGAAAGAAAAAATCTCTTTGTTTTGCATTGCAATATGGTTGTAATGGTACTATACAAATTAAAAATAGTATGGGTAAGAAAGACTTTGTAAAATCCATTTTTTAGTTTATCAAACTAATCATTGCAGCTTTTATATAAATGTAACATATCGTATGAAACATTTTACATATTAATTACTCTTTAATTGTATTTTTTTTAAAGAATGAGATCCTTGTTTTGATTGTAATGATTCACAATTTTATGCGTAACATGAGTGATTTGTATGTACTACTACGTGATACGCATATAATAGAAACCATCTAAAGATAATCAAAATTATCAATATTGTATTTCTTGTATATAAGCTCAAGTTAAAGGCTTAATGCAGCAGAGGTTGGTTTCGCATATATTTATATATGCTAGTTGGGCGATTCGTTCACATGTATAATAAGGATTATACGAATTTGTCATTTACAGTAAATGTGTTCGGTTTAATATCACAAGGAACAGTCTCTAATATGCTGTAACGATATAAAAATGGGATACGTATCACTTCACCGACACTCATTTCGTAGACATAACATTTCACCGACAAAAATTCACCGACATGTTTATTTCACCGACAATTATTTCGCCGACAAATTTATTTCACCGACAGTTTATTTCACCGAAGCTCATTTCATAGACAAATGTTTTTTTTATAAATTCCACTAAACTTAACTCTAATTCTAACCTGACCCTAACGACAATGAACAGAATTATTTTGTCGGTGAAATGAGTTTCGGTGAAATAAACTGTCGGTGAAATAAATTTCGGTGAAATAACATGTCGGTGAAATGTCATGTCTACGAAATAAGTGTCGGTGAATCGATAAAAAATGCATAATATTATAGTTTTTATAATTTTCATTATATTTATTTTCTTGCAAATCACGTAAACTATGCCCGTGGAAAATGGGTTAGATGCAAAATATGCAAAATGCGCATTTTTGCCGATCACCATGCAACTACCATGCACATTGCAATCTGCATGGTGATTGACAAAATGCGTATATTAGGTGTTATTTATGCAGTTTATTGCGTAATTGCTTTTTAGAAGGTCAGACTCTCCCACTAGGTGAACGAAGTAATCATAAACGCGATATTACTACTAACCACCCCCTACCCTTTTTAAATTATGTAATAAACGTCATTTCCCTAATGTACGAAATAAGTATTCGAGCGTTGCAATATGGTGCTTTATATAGACGGTTTTTTTAGTGACAAATTACAACTCATAAAATTTAAAGTATTTGAGAAATCAATTTTTAATTTCCATTTTATTTAAATTCACGGCATCGAAATCTAAACGCGAAAAGGTCATTCCCCCGTCCTTTGAGCGATTGCTCATCTATAATCCACACACACGACTTTGAATCTTATTCAAATGTGTGCATAAGCTTGATTGGAGACTTCGCCGGGTCATTCATAAAAGAATCAAAAAAAAAACTGATTTAGAAAGAAGTTACCAGATAAGGAAAAAAGCATCGAATTTTCGAAATAACAAATAACTGTGCGAGTGTAAGGCAGATGATTTTCTGTGGTGATATTTATTTATTTTTAAAAATAAATAAAAAATCATCGGTCCTGTGCGAGTGATACAAACAAAAAGCAGGTACGAGTGGTCATGTGTTTGGAAGAATGCCGGCTAGCCAAAGGTGCCGGAAATAGATTCAATTAAAGGACTTTAAGTCCGTAGAATACATTGTTAGTAATTTGGGCTGAGTAATTTGAACTGAAACGATGATATGCTCCCGGGAAAATTAGTGAGATTGTGCCGGGTATCATCGTAACAGTAGAACGAGTGAGAAGCAGTATCAGCCGGTGATTCCTCGCCTGCTCGCTTTAAATACTGATTGTGATCGGTGGCTTTTAGCTACGTCGCTTTATTCGCATGAAATTTCTGCGGTCTGATGTCTCTTTGGATCCCTGACATGTCATCAGGCAGGGGTTGTAGCACATGGCGTGTAACCCTGACCATTCTCCCCTGTCTTTTCGATCTGTTGACTCTTGTCAACATGCAAGAACATTCGGCTTTGAGCTAGGTTTGAGTTTATTTGGAAAATAATCACTTTAAATATGAAAAACTACTCCCTTCATTTTTAATTAGCGTTACAAAGCAGATTTAACATTCGTTTCGTTGCCAAATTACGCAAATTTGTTCTATTCTTTTTTTTGAATCATCTACACAAATTATTGCCTATTACGGGGAACGTTAAAGCCAGGCTCGGTTAGAGTTAGTTTTTTGATGCTTTTGTATAAATAAATAATTAGGTGTTCTTTGTCCGCCAATACAATATAAACCAGAGCTTGACCAGATGAATGCT